GTAGTAGTAGTAGTAGTAGTAGTAGTAGTAGTAGTAGTAGTAGTAGTTGTAGTAGTAGTAGTAGGAGTAGTAGTAGTAGTAGTAGTAGTAGTAGCAACAGCAGCAGAAAGAACATCTTTAGCCATATCTTTCGCCAAAAACAAATACATTCGCGAACTCGAGAAAAAACAAGGTTTTGACATGTTCTAGGGTCATCGTAATCAACGCTATGTATTAGGACCTTTAGATCGACAACCATATATTGTAATCAGCTGTTCAGGTTTCTTTGTCATGCAATGGCATGCATTCATGTTTCCTATAACATATACATATAGATTGAACACAAAAAACAGAGAGAGAGACAAGGACAAAAAACATCACGATCAGTGATACTGTCCAAAGGGATTCACAAGTCAAACTTTAGCTATTGCAGCTATTGCAGTGCGGATTGATTCTGAGCTTTGCGCAAGTCTTCATCAACATCACTTCCACCATCCATGTCCTGTGCAACCGTCTATTCGGCTTTGCACACCTAAGCAACAAAAAGGCCATGTCCCAAATGTGGACAACTAAATAAGATCTAGCAATGAAATTCGAACAAGAAGGCCTTGAATATAGCCTTTGACTTGATAGATGCCTCAATGACCTCCACTCACGAATCAGTTGTACTCATTTTTAAAACATTTCAGTTATTCAACGTGGAGAAACATCCAATCACCTTGGAAATACTTGCAACTGTACATCTCCCGGTTCGAGCTCCCCATCCATTCTTTCCAGCACGCCGCTAAACGTTAAACAGAGCGTCACGATGCCACAGTCGGTCCTCGAAGTCAAAGCAACCAAAGTTGCCCGATTGCCACAGGTTGTCTTCATACATGGTCTCGCTCTCGTCTTCGTCGAAGAACTCGACCTGTCTAGTCTTAGACTCTTGATCAACAAAGCACCCCATATGAAGAATTGTTCAATCCAAATGTAATTTTTTGATCAAGAGTGTACGACTACGCAGCATGAGCCATGGGAGGCTTCCGGGAAGTGCTTCCGGGAAGCTCGGGGAGCCCGAGCAGGTTGAGGGAACACAGGAAGGCCATGAAAGGCGAGTTGCCTGTCGACAATGTCCTTCACCCTTAGCAGATCTCCACTCATCCTGAGGATCACAAGTCACAAGTCATTCGGACTTCATGCAATACGACTTGGAGTCATCGTCTTTTCATCGTCTCCAAGGATTCAAGCAATTTTGTACATACAGCATCTGGCGTATGTTGACCCTCCACTGGATTAACCCTCAGGATTGCTTTGTCTCTTAGTTACATCAAACCCCCGGACAGTCACCAGGATATCTCAGTCAAACTTCTAGATCTTCAACTTCGACCTTCCATTCCAAGCATCCTCAACCAAAAATCCATAAACATCCACTTCACTTTCCCTCCAAATCCATTACATTCCGCCCAGCTCCATCCACTCACTCCGCTTCCCACCACGCGGGACCGCTCCCTCTCCGCCCGGGCGTCGGAGATGTAGACGTAGCGGCGGCGACGGCGGCGGCGGCCGTAGGGTCCAAAGGTCTGGCCGCTGGAGTCGGTGCTGCGCTCCACACGCGAGCCGCCACGGCAGTTACCTGAGGGAAGGTGGGAGGTGGGAGATGGGAGGTCTGGGCATTGCGAGGTGATTGGCTCAAGAATATCCTTTGCAGTGTCTTGTAGAACTCTGGGAATGAGTTGGTTGTAATTTAAAGAAAGAATCCACGGATCAAAGGATCCAACCGAGCAAACAATGAACATCACCAAGTGGTCTGACTGAAAATCCCAGGGCTAGGTGCACCCCACCTTGCCCTCTCAACCCGGCACAGGTGGCTTTTTGCTTGCGCATCCTTCGACCAACCCGAACCCGAATGGTCAGCAGCTCCAAAGCTCCCGTGCCGCAGCTTCCCTTCGGTGGACGTCCGGTTCCACACGACCTGTTCCATGCAGTTTCCGGTTCCAAGCTGGTCAGCAGTGGGGGAACCCCCCTGGTCACGCCGGTTCAGGTAAGGCACGGTCCTCGTAGAGGGTGACCTCCCGATCACCGTCCCGTCCAAGGAGCGAAGGCCGGTTGAAGCCCGTCTAGACTGAACCAACTCTCAGGCAAAAAACGTGTGGCTGGACTCAGCCAATGAGTAGATTCAGGCTGATTGATTCAGGTGCTTGATGGGCTTGGGAACGGGTCGAATAGGTGGTCGAGTCTTTTGGTTCCTCCCTGCAAACAGGAAACTGCAAACAATGGCAATGTTACATGAGGAAATAAGATATTGTTTTATTACGCCCTGCCTACAATTATCTCAGTCTACTGCTTCTCAATCAAGCATGCCCAATCAGAAACTTCAGACTTCCAACAAGCCCTGATGCTCCTGCTGTGTCACATGGACTCTCCAACGGGCGGACCAAATCGATCCCGACTCCGAGCCTTGCATTCCAAACCTGGGCCAGTGATTGCAAATCCGAACATCTCTTCTAAGTTGAAGAAACAGCAGAATATATGCAGGGCATTCCAGGGCGCCAAATGGATGTCCATTAATAGCCTCAGAAAGAGGTTTATATAGGGGGTGTGTTCATTGGACCCTGGTTTGTGGGTCCTGGTATGGTTTGGTGGGATTTGGAGTTGTAAACTGCCTTGGGTTGGTGGATTCTCGTCATATCTGCTCGAGGACGGTGATCCCAAGGAAAGGATTCACATTGCAAGGATAGAACATTTAAGTGGTGCCGGGAATCAAGCCGGCTCATCACTTCAGACCAGCACTGGGCACCACGTGGCAATGGAGGGCACCCTCACCGGCGAGCCACAGCTGCATTGGCTATCCTGTGATTCAACCACAATTTTGGCCTGCCAGATTGACAAATACACAGGAACTCACCAAGGAGCACTGGCCCCATTGGGGCGATACATCACCGGATGATGCCTTGAACTCTGGCAGAAATCGATTAGGGTGCCAGCTGGCCGGCATTTCTGCTGGCTTTGTGGGTTCCGCTGAGTTCCGGCTTCACGGGCTTCTCCTTTCGGGTCTATTCTGCCGCAACACATTTCGTCCTCAGGGCTACTGAAATGCTGCTAACTCTTCTAAGGGTGCCAAGATTTGGAAGAAGCACAAAGCTCACAAAGGGGAAAATAGGCCAACCAAGAGCTGTTCTTTGGTGATAAAGCCATAGGTTCCCAAAGCTTCGGAACATCTAGGTTGCTTTTTGTTGCTATTGCCAGCACTTACCTTGCCGACCGCACCGGGCCCCTTGGTATTTTCCCATGTGCACGCTTCCTACACCCTACCGACCCTACCTCCTGCCAATCTTGTCCCCACTGCACATTCGCACAGCAAACAGGGCACTTCCCCAATTCTTGTCTTCGCGAATGGCCAAGTATGCCCCGCGATGGCTCTGGAGGTAGACCTTTCCTCCTCCTGCATCCAAGACCTCGACACCCAACCACACAAAGGGTGCCCGTGAAGGGTGGTGAAAGCACCGGTGTGGTCGGTGTTTATTTACAGACGTTTGGCAAAGGTTCGGTGCAATGAGATGAAGAAAAGCTCACGACTGAGCGTTGTTCAAGAGCAATCGAGATGACGTCCAACATTAACATATCCAACATGTCTTCAAACTGTGACATGGGAGGGTTTCGGACACGCCTCTCACGGGTTGGAGTGAGTTCTTGACCCCAATAACGTTCCTACATATAGACTATAGACCAGGACCTTCCCAGTGACCTCTTCAGGATTGGTAAGTGACCTTTTCAAGGCCTGTTTGTGATCTCAAAATCTCAGGAAGCTCCTGGGATATTTTTTTCTACATTTGAACATCAAGAATTCAGCCTCCAGGTGGATCTGCCAAGCGTTCGACGCCGCAGTTATCTGCCACACGGGGGCGACGTTGGCCACGTGGTCACAACATGGGGCAGGAGTCCATGGGTTAAACCGTTAAACCCCTGTTGCAAGAGCTTTATAGAAACATCTCGCAGGCAGATGATAGTCCCTATTTACCCCTTAACCCACCCGGCCCGGCCCATACGACATGAGAGTTTGGCTGCTTGCAAATGTCCCGTGCCTTGAACTTCTCCCAGCCACCAGTGTTGCTGCTCATTCGCACATTTCCATTGTTGTCCTGGATGTGTCGTCCTGCCCGCATAGGCAGTCGTAATGTCATAGACCAGGCCACCTTTGTACTAGGGCATCGCCAACTCGCCACCTTCCCTGTCTCGCAAATCATCACCCTACCCCTACCCCCAGCATGAAGAAGGTTTCACTGTTTCACAATCCAGATGGAGGGTTGACACATAATCAAGAGTCTACATGTACAATTTTTCAACCACAAGAATTCGCCTAAGGCTCCCCCGCAAAACTCCATGGGGCCCAATCTCCAACCCTGAGCCTCACCTTGACTAGGTCTGGCTCTAGTTCTAGTTCGAAACTCCAACCACGACGTGACGGTAGCCGCCCTTGGTGCAAAGCTGATGGAACTTCTTCCCCAAAACGATGAGTCAACCATCAACCTGCCACCTCTCCGAAAATCGGACGTCTTCATCTGGTCCGAACAAAACAGGGTCGTTTCTACCGCACCCCAGTCAGCGCTCGTCCTGTGTTCATGTTCCGGATAAACACCCGGCTATCGGAGCCGATCACTGTGATGCCCGGATCCGCGGAGCGGATCTGCCAGGTATCTTTGGTGCCCTGGGAGAGGCGAGCTGAGAAGAGTGAGTGTGACAGGCGAGCTGATGTGGGGGGAGTAAGAAGCAAAACATCTGGTAGAACCGCCATGCATCTAATTAGGTAATTAGGGGTAAAGTAAGTGTAAGCATGTCAGAACTAAACAACTGCTGCCTTGAAAAAGACAGACATCACAACGAACCAACCTGGACCCTCCATGTCGGGATCGCCACACATCGTCACTCTGTGGGGCTGGTTTCTAAATGTTCGACCTTCAAACGAGTCAAACGAGATCCCGGCGCGTAGAAGAACATCATCTTCCCAACTCGCAGCAGGCTGCGGTTAGTGGGAAGCTGGACGGGTGTAGCCCTGCGAAATTTATCAATCGACCAGGTTTCGTGTTCAAAGGGCCCCTTGTCCAAACCGACTTCTTGCTCTAGTATACATGTGTTTTTTCCACCCATTTTGGGGGCTTTCAGAAACCCATCCCCTTTGAACTGCCGGGAAGGGGTGCATGTCTGTCTACACGTCCTCTTGGGCCGAGCTGAAGGCGACGATGCCCGGACCCCGGAGCGAAGGAACAGGCCGATTCGTCGGATTCGGATAATAAAGATATGGTACACTATGTGGATAGTACATATATAAGTAGATTACAAAAAACAACAAAAAAACTATATCGTACACTATGCCATAAATATCTATAAATACATAATATAATTCTATAGTAAGTACATGACATGATGCGGATCGACCAGCCACCTAGGACCGACGCTGGCCTTCCTTCTTCCAACATCTTCCAAGCGCGTGACCGCAGATCCAAGTCCCACAGAAGTCCCAATGAAGGTGGAGAATGGGAAACAAACACTTACAAAGCGTAAGGGGGCCATCTCCCTTCAACTACCGGGGAGCACCTGCTCTGGTACTAGAGCTAATGGCCTTCACACACAGTCATCCGGTCACCGTGCTTGACGTCCTGTTTCGTTCAGTCCTGGCGTTGACTTTGGCATCCACTTTAACCCAAAGGGACTTTGCAAAGGAAGACTAGTTCATCCATTGGTCTGCGGCGTGCCCTTCCAGCTAAGGCACGGCTTGGCCGCGGTCGTACCATTTGTAGCTCCAGCCATCCATGCCCAAGACTCGTTCACGACCCTCCATGTTCTCCAAGTAGAAGTCTCTATCCTGAACTAGGATGACTATCTTGGTTTCTTAGCCCTTCAAAGCTCAGCAAACATCGAACGAACACAAAAAAACATCTGGCGGGGTGATATGTTGGGCCGGAGGCTCCTGTTCTATGCCCATGGCCGCGGTGTCATCATAGACCAGCAAGCCGCCCAAGGTCAAGGAAACCTCAGTCCGAGTCCCATCAAACGAAGGCCTGCAGATGTTCTTGATAGATTTCATGCACAAAGTGTGTTGCTTATTATTCACTCATATGACTCATATGTATGTAAATATTATATATATATGAAGTAAAGTTTTGAGGCCACGACATAAAAAGATTGCTTTTCATCACGGGAAACCAATCCAAAGCTAAACTAGTACCGATTGAACACAGAAAACACGTGATTCCTCCAGCCAGAAGCGATGAGGCGATTTTTGGCATGTTCAGAGTCGGGAGCCACAACCCCAAGTGATTCTGCAAACGTCACTGTCTGACAGTGGTTCGGAGGTGAGACCGCAGTACCAACCGAGTCGCCTTGGGGAAAGGCCAGAAGATCTGTGTACCACTGCAGTAGCCTTCGAGCTTTACGATGTCTCCCGCGCCAGCGCGGCCAGTCCTCAGTGCACGCGCGAAGCGTCCGAAAGCGGCAGGACGTGCCGGGGCTTTTGGCACGTGGCACTTAAGCGTCCCGAAGGGGTTCACGGCTTGGTGTTCATTCTTTTGATTTGAGCATTCTGCCCAGCTCATCGTTCTTTTGGTCATAGACCACCCTGTAACAAAAGAGACCTGATGGGGTGCGCAGCAGGCCTTTGGTTTGCGGTCAGTGGGTGTGAGGCTTGAAACATCTTTGCGGGCACACTGGCCATTGATAGCACAAGGTGTTTGCCAACATTGGAAGCAAAGCGGCTTTAAATGTAACAGAAAGAACATAAAAGAAATACTATGACCGCCGGATTCTCGAAGAGATCCCTCTTGGCATTCTGTTGAACTTAAGTATGTGTTAACGTTATGTCCACCAGAGGTGGCTTTATTCTAGAAAAAACAACATTGAAAAAGAAAACAAAAAAGTGCAAACCAAAAAGCACTAGCACAACAAAGAGCAACCAAGAAAGCAAAATAAATGCAAAACAAACAAGTGCAACCAAAAAAGCACTAGCAAAACAAGCCGGGCTTTCTGGCGCGCTTTTTGTAAGGGTCCACTTTCTGGCGCACTTTTTGGGAGGGTCCACTTTCTGGTGCACTTTTGGTCGCTTTTTGTTCGCTGTTTTTTCGCCAAAAAGCAAAAACACGAAACAACAGCGACAAAAATGCGACCAAAAGTGCAACAGAAAGTGCGCCAGAAAGTGGACCCTTCCAAAACGTGCACCAGAAAGCCCGGTTGAGTGCAGAATCCTCAGGGACCTCTTTGTTTTGTTTGTGCCTTTTTTGGTTACACTTTATTTTTTTGCTTTCTTGGTTGCTCTTTGTTTCGCTTCTGATTGCTTTTTGTTGCACTTTGTTTTGCTTTCTTGGTTGCTTCTTTGTTTTGCTAGCGCTTTTTTGGTTTGCACTTCTGTTGCTTTTGTGTTGCTTCTATTTTTCAAGATGATCAACTTCTAGAATAAAGGGGTCGTGCAGACATTATAATGTTAACGCATCTCTAAGCGATCCTCGTACGTCCAAGGCAACAAGCGAGGTTCTGCCAATCATGTCAAGCCAATTCAAGCCTCCTGCTGTCAAGCATGAGATGCCTAACATCCCACCAACTGACCCCCACTAATCAACGTCGACGCCACACGGGCCAAGCCACATTAGCAACAACACGACGTGCTGTCAAAACAATGCCAGGGACATTTCAACATGTTTTGATGCACTGTTTTCAATGTATGGCCTGTATGGGACTTGTTTCAAAATATCGAAAATCTCTCAACATACATCAATCAAAAGGACCGACCCTGCCGGTGGGTGGACCGACCTAGTATGTTTCAAAGGTGGAACCAACCAGCACACCCCTTGGTCAATGAGACCATGCACGACAAACCGAGCATGGCGCGAACGCGGGGTCCGCTTTTGGTGCGCTGCATACTGCCCTAAACAGTCCATATATGGAAAACGTGTCAACATCATCGATACCTGAAACATCCTGAAACACCCACAATGATTACTATGGACCATAGAGCCATGGTTGAAACCCTTTGTTTCATCCGAAGCACAGGTCCCCGAATCCGGAGCACAGTAGTGAGCACCTCCGTTTTCCCTTTCGAGCGACATGCAGGCGCCCCAGTTGGTCGCTGTGGGGTTCCACAGGTTGCAGTACTGCACCTGGCGGTGGCATCGTTGGCATCATGGTGCCGGAGGTGTGAAACATGCATGGAACAGGTATGAAAAGGTACATATACAAAAAAAACATTGATTCTGAAAATGGACCTGCAAGGAAGACTATTTCCTCTACAACCCAGTGGGATTCAGGTTCCACGTGAATTTTCCAGGGTGTAGATCTTGTCCTTTAGCCGGTGAGGCGCCATGCTGGAAATGGGTGCCATGGTGATTGCCATGTCAATGGCGCATAAGCATGGGAATGGATCAACTCCGGTGATTTGGACATTGGCTCATTCCCATGTTGCACACGCGTCTTCTCATGTGGAATGTTTGCTCATAAACGGACACCAGGATGGAAGTACCGTTTCATCATCCTGTCTGGGTCTTCCTTCGCTCGGCGACCGCCCCACGGCCCAAACCCCGGACTCGGACGAATCAATTCATGTCTGATATATATCCTTTTTTCCTCCTACGATATGCCTGCAAAAGCGAAGCCTCTCTTCCTATACTATGCGGCTATTCTTCTCCCCTTTCTGCAGTGCTGGTCCAAATTCGAGCTGTTTGTGTGCATGCGCGCATGCTTGTGGTGATCTCAAACCCTTTTGAGTCCAAACTAGATTCTATGCCTCAAGTCGAGGACAAATCGGGAACTTTGCCCAAAGGATGCCAGAAACCACCTATTTCATCGCCGCGTCCCGGACTCCTGTCTTTTGGGAAAACATCTTCTCCTTCCCCACACCATGACCATCTATCACTCCCCCAAGTCGTTTGGGCGACTAATTCTGTTTGCTGTTGGCTGTTTCGTGCGGCTGCCATTTGCCACGCTCCATCTGTCGTGCCCAAGGCACCAGGAATTTGAGATTGGCCTTTCCGATGTCCGCTTCGATTTCCTGACTTCGGGGCACACACGCGAGCGGAAGCCGAAGCTGAGCGAGCGGAAGCACGCTGCTCCTTCTTCCGGTCTCGCGGCGAAAGCTGGAAGCTGGCAAGGCCGTCTCATGACATGTGTTTGGGGTATACTCAGGGCATAAGAATAGGCTGGGCGAATGACATAGGAGCTGGGGGCACAGCGACGAAGTCATCATGTTGCCACATGATATCTCATCCACTAGTTGCCTCATGACCGAACGCTTTCTATCTCATCCACTAATTACCACATGCTGTGTCATAATCTCATGTCATGCGTGGTTTATATCCAATGCCTCCGGAAACCATAAAATCTCGATCAATTTGTGATACACTTATGAGAAACATAAATGTGTGGGTGTGTGTGTTGGTGTCATTCATGTATGTGAAGGCCTGATGTTACAGGAGTCGTCGCATATACATATATATGACCATATATATTCGGAGTGTTTGGAATTCAGGTGCAAACACCCGAGCAATGAATCAAAGCACAACCAAACTTGCGAGCTATCAATTTTGGCAGCTACTTGTGTGGTACCGCAGCGGAGGATTTAAGGAAGGGCAACCCAAAGAACTCTTGCCACCACAACTGAAGAGGGAACGCTTCTACACCAACTCCAGCGGAACTGCAAATGGATCTCTGATTTGCACACCTGATCCACCAAATCTCCAACCGGCTTTGTTTTTTTAATCCTCCCTCACTTAGCCAAGACACGATCCTCTCTGGGGTGACCCAAGCCTTGTACTTCCAAGGTGGTTCGTTGTCATCCAACCGTCGACCTGCCTGAGCAGCTGAGTATCCAGTAAGTCTAAGTATGTGCAAAGGATACCCCGAGGATACCCCTGGGACTCTCTGGGTGTATCCATCTTTTTCTGCACAAAAACAACAGTGGAATCTCAAACAGTCTTTCAATATCAGGTAATGATCTTCCCATGTCAGGTGAAGCATTCAGCTTCAGAGCCAGAGCTGGGCCATCGCCATCCTCTGCCCAAAGCAGCTGACTCATCGAGCTGTAATTCACTTCGAAACCCATTGCAATCTTCACAGGGCATCGAACTCTGGCCGAAGAAATGCCCCAAACTATGAATCAACAACCATCTTGAACCATCTTGAACCAACTGTTAAAAGCATTCTCGCAGGTTGCTTCCACGCAGCCCAAAAACAACCGAGGGCTCGTAGCAGAACACCGGCGGACTTGCAGAAGTCTCCATCTTGGAGAACCACGAACGCGCACCGGCTGCCCCCGGCTGCCCCGCAGGGCTTCCAACCATCCGCCCAGCGGCCGCAGACAGGCGCCGCAGCGGGTGGTCCGGATCCGCTGGTTTTAAGTCCTCTGAGTTGATCCTGAGCAAAGCACTGAGTAAGACCCGGGTGCCGTAACGGGGTGTTCGTGGTCCGTACCGGGGTGTGCGGAGTTCGGGACGGTTTCGGGAAGAGTTGATGAAAGAGAAATCCCTGCGGAATCATGGTCCAGACCTGTGCGCAGGGGTCCAATTGTGGTATGTGCTACTTTGAAGGTGTCCATTCATGGGGAAAAAGTGTGCGGCGTTGTGCATGGCCACGCGTTTTTCTATGGCCTCACAAGTGTGTCTGATCTTCCATTGGAAAGAGGCAACAAAAATGATTCCAAGCTCTGCAGGCCAGGCGGGAGGATATATTTAGACCAGTGACAGGGAGAATAACAGTTCTTTGTATTTCTTTGTGTTGGTCATAAATATAGTCATGAGATGACAGTCATCCTGTTGTGTCTATTCTTGCTTCCTTAGGCTTACATCTTTGATCATCAATCACCCTGAGACGGGACCGAATCCTTTGTTTAAAACAAAATTTGTGTGTGTATTCCCTTGCTTTGTTTTTTTGTTTAAGATCTCGAGGACCCTGGTGAGAATCATTGGTTTCCGTTGACTTGCTCACCCTCCAGCCCCTCATCATTGCCAAAGCATCTCCACGGAATAGGTCCCATCACCGTGGTCCACGCGGGAGCCCAAGCGCCGTGAGAGCAAGCGACGGCTGCCACCGCTTTGGTAGCTGGTGTTGGTGTCATTGTTCTCAGGGAAGTTGCAGTATCGCTGACAAACAAGAGGGGTCTAGAGTATAGAGTCTAAAGATGTCTAAAGGAAACACCAAAGCCCTGCAGCTTCACTTCCAACCCTTCTGCAACCTTATTTCCATAAAAAGCTTCTACAACCTTCTTTCTATCGACCACGTATGTATTTATCATTGCAAAAGTCGGATGCCTATCCCTACATGCCATCCCCCTTGTGTACGAAGGCCTCACATGTTGTGCCTCGTCACAACATGTCATAATTGCAGAACAGAACTATAGACTAGAACAAGAGCATTACTACTAGTAGCTAGAAGCTACTACTAGCTCCTGGCATCACTACTAGCAACAAGAAGCTACTAGTAACAAGGGCATTAGAACACTGAACTCTAAGTCAAAGCCACTGCTCTGCCAGGACGGTTCACTGTTGTTGCCTTACATTACATGAACTTGCCCTCAATAGAGGTGGTGAACAAATTCATAGAGCAAAGGTAGCGGTGCTCATCTCTGTGTGATGTCTCTTTGTAGGACTGCTGACCTCACCAATGAGACTAGGACACTTTGTCAATTCTAGACACCATCCATCAATCATCGTTCCATGTTTTGCTGTGGCTAGCAAAACTCACCTGCCAAGTCCCACCTGTTTTGGCGATGAGGAATACTCCACAGGATCCTATCAGCCTATCCACAGGTCACAATGGACATGATGTCCATTCCGTGCTGCTTGTCCTTCCCGCACCTGCATCTTCTACTAACTAGACTCATCAAGAACCGCCCAAGACCTTCCTTTTCTTCCCAAACAGCCACATCTTCCCCAACACAGCGACCGCTTGTGTCATCTCCGCCATGTAGTCCACGAACTCGTGGTCAAACAACTCATCCTGGCGACACGATCTGGTCCCAAGGCGGAGTTGACGCCAAGTCCACCGGTGTCCACGGCGAAAAACGATCCATTCTGGGAGACTGACCGGAGTCGTGAAGAAGTGGGATGATGATTTCAATACAAGTATAACACATATATATATATAACATGTTGAAATATGTTTTCTTTTTTTAAAACAAAGTTATATTACTGACTTCATTGCGTTTGTTTGAGGCTGTCAGCTGTTGCATGGATAGGATGCGTAGATCTCGGGGTTGACCATAGAGGTGATTAACTTGCAAATGAACCACACAATACGAAACTCTATGGTGACCTGGAGGGTGCTCCAAAATAAGGCATTTGAAATACGTGACCCATCTCATTAGGAAGGACAAATCATCCATTCTGCCATATATGATAAGATTCAATGGTGATGGTAAATGTTAGGTAACGGTGCAGGATGGCCTTCCATTCACCCAAGTCACCATTAAACCCTGCAGGGTTTCTTCTCAGGTCGGTGGGAAGGGAGGTGCCCTTTTGTGCCCAGGTCCTTCGTGGAAAAACATAAAACCAACAACATTTGCCAACACGCGCCAAACTCGTCGAACAATCGCCTGGTTCTCCACTGAGGTGAAGAGAGCCTCCCAGTACTTGAACATCCTGCCGACTCCATGCGTCAAGGCCAGCATTTCTCAGCCATGGGGTGCCAGAAGGGAAGAAACGAAGGGATGACAGGAGAAACATCAGCTTTCCATAGTTTTCCCAATTGAACTCTGGAAACACTTTCCAAGATGGAAAAAGGTCTTTTTCTACTAACAACCTTCTTTGGGCGCTTGGGTAGCAGGCTGGTTGTACAGGTTTCCTTGCAGGCATTCGCAGCATGAACACTCTTTAAGATGTCAAGGACACAACGAAATCGACATCAATAGTTCTTCCTGAATCAATGATTTCCGGCAAGATCCAGAACGCGATCAAATACTCTGCGCATTGCTCAATCCCACCACAGCTTTACCCTGCGTATTTTCTCCTAGACATTCGACGTGGCTCTTAATCATATATATATATTATATATAATAATAATAATTATTATTATTACTGAGAGGGCATCGCTCTTATTTTCAATCTTTTCATTTTAGGTTGTGGACGCATAAGATGGTTTTGCTTTGAGGACGTCCTCAGCCGCAAAACACGGTCAAACCATGTCAGACCGCTCCTCGCGTTCATGAGCTCTGGCCGGTGATCACCGCGAGAGAGGTAGAACTGGGCGAAACGATGCACAGTAGATGCACAGCAAGTGATGGCGTGCAAGTGATGGCCTGCTGATGCACAGAAAATGGCACAGAACATATTTGCACACCACCCGAAGCTGTCACTCGTGCTCGACTGGCCAGTGGACGTTGAGGGTTCCCTCATCTGACTAAACAATTTGTCAGGAAGAACTCGACAATAAGAAGATCAAACAAGTTCATTTCTCTGTAAGAAAACAATAAGAATGAAGGATGTGGATCACAACCCGACTTCATCGAAAAATACAAACGAACTGCATTGCAGGACAGGTTCCATTCTGTGATCCAAGATGGGATGTGACTGTCTTCCACCAGCGGCGCTCCAGCGTGGCTCTGCACAAAACTACAGTAAACGAAAGCAACTGACCCCCAGTCTGCCGTGAGAGCCCCCAAATCCGCCTGCAATCGCTTGTAGTTGTACAAGAGGGCGGAGGGGAGCTCCGACCAGGGGTAGATCTCCTCAGGTCCAGGGCGTGCGAAGTCTGATGAAGCGAAGTCCAGTCCATACAAAGAGAAGGGAATCCCGGCTCAGAACGTTTTGGAAGTTATTTCTATATCTATTTGGGGACCTCAAATTGTAGCAGATGTTAAATGTAGGAAACCCTGTCCAAACAGAAGGTGGCGAGGTTTCACATTAGGTGTTATACGCAGTTGGATGGTTGGACTGCTGCAACCACACATGGTTATATGTGAATCTAAGTATACCTTGTTACAACAACCTTGTTGCGCCCTCATCTCCCCATTGGACCGAGTCGGATCAATGGTGATGTTGTGTCCCTTTTGTCAGGACTTTCTGAGGGCTTTCCTGATTTCAGAACAAACCTGTAGAATATTGCAAAATGATGTATCATGAAGACTCTTAGGTTTGAAGAGGACTAATCACTGTGTTACACTCCAAATGAGAGAAGTTATACTAATCAAAAGCCTACTTTCACCGATGATGGATGTTCTTTCTGTTCGAGCCTCGCCCCGTTGATTTGGGTCCCATCTGATCTCACCCGCACGCATTGCCCGTCGTGTGATTGTATATAACATACTGTAACTGGAACTATATATGTTGCCTGAAGCTTTATCATCTTTATAGAGTGACTGTGCATCCCCAAAATAGACCTCAAGACAAACTCATGCTGCATGGGTCCCAAAGCCCGACAACCTATTTTTCGCACCCCTTTCCCTTGCTTTCGCTATGGGCGATGCCAGGCGCGAACACCATCACCCCGACGGAAAAACCGGTTCCGGCACCAAGGCTCCGGTGGCATATGGAAGTTCGGATCCCAGGAGCTTCGGTTCGCCACGCCCAACGAGCCAACCACCTGGAAGGACGGGGAACGGGAGCGTAGCGGTAGCAATCAGCCACGTTGAGGGCAGCACCGGTGTTTCTTCTTTGATCCGTGTCTTCATGGACTTTTGCAGCAACGTTGAGTCTTACGATCGACTACTACTACGACTATATATCACCACGCGCACCAGGATGACTCGTGAGACGAGCCCGGTGTTGTACTAGGCTCACGGACCTAAATACAAGAGAATACCCCAAGAAGGAAGAACCTTCAACATGCAAGTGAAAACGCGACCTAGATTAGCGGTACGTCCCAAGACGCCAAAGTGCGACCTGCTCCAAGCTCGAAAATCTGTGCCAGATGATTCAAAGCTCCATTTGCAACATAAACTTGGGCTCCAATCAAGGAACCTTGTGGCATGGTGCGACCGGCAGCTTTGGCCAAGGCTGGATCCAAGATCCCAGGAAATGCTTGCACATTATCAGAACGACCAAGCAAGACGACAGCTCGGCGAATCTTCTTGTGATAGTCCAAGTACGTAGCATGATCACTGTGCTCCTGCAATTTATACCCCAACCAATGAAACAAGGCTGTGAGTTCACATACAGAAGTGATGGCACCCGGTTGCACTTTCCAACGCAAAGTCCGAAAAAACTCACACAGTTCTCGCCAATCCTCTGCTGTTCCGGACCAACTGGATGGTGCCGGGTGACATAGTGGGATTTTAGGTTGCCACTTGAAGGACGAAACTGAGGCATCCCAATCCCATTGTGGAAACTGCGCTTGGTATTGTCCTTGTTCGCTATCCGGCTCAGGTTCCGGCAGGCTCAAAGATAACGACGGAGAATTCGTAGGCAACAGCTCATGCAGATTCACCAGCCACTTCTGGTGGTTCAAAGCAGCCTTGTCCGCCTGGTGTTGGATCTCCGGCTTCACAGCCGACAACGATGTGGCGAACTCCTTGGCTGTTAGATCAGCGATTCTGTTACGCTCTATGTGGCGCACTGAAGTGTGTCGACCTGCAGCCATGGTTTCAGTGATCTGGGCAATCGGCACATTTTCAAAACAGTGAGCAGGGATCCAAGAAATGTTGACTGGCTGCGGGTGACTCTGCTTTCTACCTTCAAGCAGCAAGGTAAGGTAGGACCACCAAGCTTGGCACATCCATGTAGGCTCAGGCTTTCCATGAAGGCATACATGTGAAACGTGCTCAACAACCGTTTTGTTGTCACAGAAAATATGTACCCGGAACGGTGTAAGCGTGCAAGCGATTAGCACACCCCACAACTCAGCAACATATGAGCACAGGGAAGGATAGTTGACCAACCCTTTCTTGCACACCCTAAGATCTGCGTCAACCACTGCAAACGTCGCAATGGTAAGCCAAAAGCGATTTGCCCACATAACTGAGGCATCAGTCCAAAATTCAACACAATGCTGCGGCTGAAATGCAGGATCAATACTCGGTGGTATGGAGCAAAGGAGTCTTCGCCTTGCCAGAAATTCAGGTTGCTCCAAGATACCCATGAGGGCAAAGTTTTTCCCAAGCTCATGAAGGACTGGTTGGCCAATCAGGCCATGTAGCGAGGAGCATTCATGCACCAAGTGAGCAAGACTCTCCTTAGTTGCGTGGCAGAAGCGGCACTGGGAAGAGTCAGCCCAGCCGGCAGCGGACAGTCTGTCATTGGTGAGTGTGCACCCAACAACAATAGACTGAAAACGAGTTGCTGGGGAAATAGTGGCTCCGGATGGGGAAACTTTCTCATTGAGCAAACACGTAGTAGCCTGGTAGTCTAACAGTCCTTGGGGCTGGAAGAAATCCTTACGGGTGCGATGGTCCACATTTTGGTACGCTGCCTGTCTGGCAAGCTGGACCATCAGTGGCTTAAGCTCACGTGGCTGGAGTTTCGTGATATCGAAAGCTTGGGACCCCCGAAAGGAAAACCCAAAGTCTTGCACAATTTCAATGTCAAGCACCGAACATGCAAACTGGAGCCGAGACCACAAGGAATGGGGATGTGATGAACTACCCTGCATGGTATCCTTAAGGATAGGAATCAACGCCGGTGACATTTTACAGCATCTAACAAATTCACAAATGGTAGACACCGCACAGGCAAGGACAGGATCAGTGCGATGGGGCTGACCGTGTATAGCTTGGACAAGCCACTTAGCTCGCCATTTAGGTTTACCCGTCCATAAAGCTTTAATCACCGCTCCTTGGAGCTGAACCAATTCCCTTTTGGGGATCTGGGTGACGTGTGCTCCAAAGGAAATGCGAGGTATGACCTTGGCACCAATGAGAAGGTTTTTAACACGGGTCGGAATACGCAGAGCTCCAATGCGCGCAATATCCGCCAGGATCAAACGGTGCACACTCAAATCATAATGGAAAGCCTTACGTGAGCAAGAGTACATCTTTACACCCAGCACTTCAAACTCGAGTTCGACAGGGAATTCCGGAAACAAGGAACGAAGGCTTTTTCGACCCTGTGAATGGGAAGACCACATCGCTGACTTGCCTGGGTTGAACTTTTGCCCTACCAGCATGTCCCAGTGCTTTGTGATTTGGATGGCAGTGTCGAGTTGGTGGATGTTAAGCAGCTTACACCATAAATAGGAATCGTCAACAAAAGCTCTTGCCGACACCGCTGGTAGGTGTTCCAACAGGTGGTACCAGACTTTGTTGTACATGTTCATTGCAAGGAGCGACAAACTGCATCCCTGTGCCACTCCGTTGGCAGCCGTAGTCGCAATCGGGCGCATCCAGTTCCGGTACGCAAGGTGGCGGTGAAGGCCACGGTAAAGCTTTAGAAAGAAATTGACAAGTGTCCTCGGTAAGCCGAAGGCCAACATGAGCGTGGCTGCATACACGGGGACAATTCGGTCAAAAGCTTTTGACTTATCAAGCTTAACACCAACAACCGGGGATGAGTCGCACTGGGCAACATCGAGTTCCAAACGAACTTCATTATAGAGAGAAGCCATGTACCGGTCTTGCACACCACCCAATATGGCCGGAGGAAGGGTGGCGATGAGCCAAGGTTGCAATTGTCGATACCTACTCCCCGTGTATGCCAGGAGGAGAGCCGGCAACACTGTGATAATTCTCTTATTGAGGGCATCTGCCGGGCCCTTTTTATTTAGAATGCACTGCTTGGCACACACAAGGGCTTTAGGTAATGGTTGGTTCGACTCTTCAATGAACGTGAAGAACTCCGCAATTGGTTGGAAACAAGGCGCCGGGAGAGCTTGAAGTTCGATTGTTCTCCAGCCGTCTAATCCCGGGGCGGCATGGCTCTTCCGGCGATGGATCGTTTCAAAAAGTTGCTGACCTTTAACGGGAGGAAGTTCACACTTGTGCACCTTACTATGTATGCACGGCCAAATGGTCTCCAGGACTTTGAGTGGGTCTTCACACAGGACATTGGCCGAAAAGACATCATCCCATGCTGAGTTGATTTGATCCAAAGCAGGCCCTGGTTGGTAGATGATCTGGCCAGTTTCATCAAGGATGAGATTCGGAGGTTCATCCTGGGCACAATTGCGCAAATGTTTGTAAATGAAATGACAATTACCCTTGGATGATTCCTTGATCTTAGCTTGCCAATTCTTCAGTCTCTTCAGCCTTATCTGTGAATCAAGCAGCGACGCTGCCGCTTCGGCCCATCGTCGAGCAAGAAAAATATCGGCAAGAGTTGGATCGGTAGGCGGAAACCACGACACAGGGGCCTGGTGCTCTTGAAGACCTTTAAAGGCCCGAAAGGCAGTCTGTCGGGTATCAAACCGATCTTGTTCGCCCCCTGGTTCACGGGAGAGACGACAGAACAATTGTTGCAATCGACCAACAAGTTTGTATAAGGAAGTTGATTTCTTCGTGGCAGCACACAAGTTTCTATGTTGCTTTGGCACAACTCTTTTGGCAACAAAGACTGGTGCAGTGCCTCTCGTTTGTGGGCCTTGCCCCCACTGTGCACCTGTGGATTTTAAGGAATGAACAAGAAATTCATTGATGATCTCCCATTTACCTTCACTATCCTGAACATCATCAAACCGACCCGAAAAGGTTGGCCAATCATGTGATTCCGAATCCGTCCAAGTGGCAGTTTGGAGGGTATCAGGCACAAAGGGGGCACTTTTAAACATTGTGTACCCAACCTGTTGGATGGAATGCCAGTGGAAAACAAGCTTGATTGGGCGATGCTGTTTACCAATCACAGGAACTACCTCAGCAGAGCGAAGGGCGCAAAATGCACTCTGATTGATTAAAACCGCATCAATGGAAGACGTAGCGTCATCACTACCGGAAAAGGTGCCATCCCTTGAAAAGGTTAGGGGTCGAATGGTGTGACCTGTGGGATCAACCTCTGCAATGGGGTCAACCCATCCATGGAAGGCAACACAATTGGCAACCGATTCATAACTTGCAGGATCAGCCTGGAGGTCCCCTGCGACCACAACTGGAATTGGCCCAAATTAAAAGCCGGTCATTTTTAGCATGTAGTGCAGGGTCTTGGGAGGCCCCTGTGCATGCATAGAGCGAAACAACTAAGATCTTACATGAAGGAGAGACTTGAACCCACGCAGCACTAAACCGCTGTGTACGCATCAAGGAATGAAAGAGACCAGCTTGGTCGTGACATGCTTCAAATGGCTGAATGACCGAATCCGGACCTATGATGGCCGTACCCCCACAGGGAGTGATTGACACAGACTTATGCCATTTCACAGGAAGGGGTTCACTAGTGACAATGCGCTGCCCAAGGGCATTGACAGCATTGTGGGTGGATCGGATGTTAGCACGGCCAATGCGTGTTTCTTGGAGACAACAGACATCCGCGTTCCAAGTTTTCCACGAACCATTGGTACGAAAAGAACCCAGATTGGCGGAAAACAGGGTCATACAATCACTTGGGTTGCCAAAAGGTCCCTCCCCCGGGTAACCAAGCGTACAGTCAAACGAGACTTGGACGAAAAGCGAAAGACGTGCAACAGCAGTCATTTTGTACTCGCCAGGAACGAAAGCTGGAAGG